AAAAAAAAAAAAAATATGGAGGTAAGCCCACGTTTACAGTGATGAGTAAAAATATATTTTATGTAGCCTTCAGACATTATTGACATTATTCCCTTTATTGGGGAATAAAGTAAAAATCCCACATTCTAGCTAGTTTTCAAGAAAGGAGGGTCCAGGGAGAGGACATGTGGAATGCACATAGCTGGTTGTGTTTTACCCCTTGTCTCTTAGAAAGATGGCTACCTCTTAGTGTGACAGAGTTAAGGCTTCAGTTTTAAAATACCAACTGAAAATCTACAGGATGCCAGGACCTATGATGAGGAGGAGGAGAATAATTTCAATATTAGGCTGCAAAATTAGCATTCTGTAAAGAACAAAGGAGTTCTGACCTATGTCAAAAGATAATTTCCATCAGTGAAGCAAAAACACTCACGTTTTCCCCATGGTTTAAAAAATGATTCAAGGTTAAGAATTGATTGACCTATTGCATTTAGCTTAGAAAGTGGCATTTTTAACCAATTTCATGCATACAGAAGAGGTTTTATGCATAATGATGAGGTAATAATAAACTACAATAATCACAATGATATGCAGAACATACTGGAGAGTTGGAAAAGCAGACCTGTATGTTTCAGTAGAATTTGTAGGCAAAGCTTCCAGATTTTATGCAACTTGAAAAAGTCATTTTGCAATTAGAAATAAAAATAACAAGACATACTTTCTCAAACCTTAGAAAGTATGTTAGGGTTGAGCTTTGTGCACAACCAAGTATGCTAACATTTCAAGGAATTAAATAAGGAATCCTATTCATTATACACTTTAACAAAAAAGCTTACATGCTACACGTGAAAAGAATTTGGAGAGAATCCTCTAGTATAATTTAAAAAGGCAAAGGATATTCTTAACAACATAGTTAGATCTAAGAATGAGTAAATTCAATTTATTTTAAAGTCAGTTAAGTCAAGGACAGAGGAAAAGACAACACAGCATTCTGCTTACAGTGACCATGGAAGATGGGAATTAAAATGGATGGCAGCATTGACCACCTCAGCCCCACCTGCCCCTCTAAGTGGGTTCTTACTACATTATTTGCTCTGTCACAGCCATGGGAAAAAGGGACATGCAACATCAGAAATTGTAGAGGACACCCTGTGACAGCTGGCTCCTGGCTCATTGTTCCCAATGTAGGCTCTCACCCTGGGAAGGAAGGGTACCCAGCGGTGACTCTGCCTACAGCAAGATCCTCAAGGCTCTCCATACACAAGCATTGTGCTAAGAGGCTTATTCAGAAACATGAGTAAGTATAAACAAAATTGAAACTCATTGCCACCCTTCAAATATACACATACACACATACATACATAAAATGTATATACATTCCCTTCTCCAAATGATGTTCTTTCTCTCTTTCCTCTATCCTGCCTTCCTAGAAAGAATACTGGACCTTGGACTTGTTGCCCGCATCAGAACCTTCTAAATGGAAGCCAGAAACAGTGTTAAACTTTGTGTGTGAAGGCGCCAAACACTCAACCCTGTCTCATTTTTGTGCTGGGTTAAATTTCTTTAATTCACACTAATTTGGCTACTTGTTAGGATGGATCAGGAATCCTATTTTTAAAAATTATAGTTGTATGAACTATAGAGATATTATGTACCTTAAATTGGTTTGTATTATCAGTTCACATAAAAAACTAATTAAGAAGAGAGCAAAAATACAGTATCTGAACTATAAAGGAAGAGGCAGGTGGAAATAGAATTCAGCTCTTTTATAAGAACAATGCTGGACTAGAAATTTTTAATCACATTTAGGATGCAGGAGGCCAGGAGCAACAAATACCAGAGCTCAGATTTCTATAAACTAAGCGAATGCTGTGTCGGAAACGAAAGTTAAATTTTGGGGGGGAAAAATCAGTAGCTAAGGAATGGAGAATGATAGGTCCCCAAAAAGGCATTAAAAGACAGAAGGAATGGGCACTGAGAACAAAACCTGAGAGTGAAGAGGAGATCACAAGAGAATAAGGGCTGTCTTCAAAGGGGACAGACTGCAGCCCCCTGGGTCTCTCCACCACCTAGGCTGAAAGGGGCACTCTCGGGAGCAGGGACATCAACAGCTAGAACTTCAATGGAGCAGTACTCGCTGAAGCAGATCATGAAGTAACAGAGGGAGGCTGGCTTCCTCCCAGGAGAAGTCTGTGTTGCCCCTTTTTAAATCAACTCTGCTTTATATGCTTGTCTGCACGTGCTTCTCTACTGTTCAAACTTCAACAGGTGAGGAAGCAGAACCTGTCACTGATAACAGGCGGTATCAGCACTAGGAGATAGCCTGCAGTCTGTGCTCTTCTATACCTGATGTAATGACTAAGAACAACAAAATCTGGACCTTGGAACCTACCAAACTCCAGAATATACTGATGGGCTTCGTCCACATAGCGAATAAGCTGCTGGAGGAAACTGTAAGCAAATCGTTTCTCGATGGAAGGTGTGTCCAGTTCCAGGTCCTTGAACCCTCTACAACAGCAAAAGGAAAACAAGGAAACCAATATAGGCAGTTTTTTCTTAGAAGGTAAAATATTGGACAAAAATTGCATATAAAGTCTGAGGGTTATCTGATATTCTTGTAGCTCCAAGCAAAAGTGAGACTTATAAGGAGTACTTTGCATCTGATTTCAAACCATAGTGAGTAACTTCATTACTATGTAAATAAAATGCTGCATTTATGAATACAGGGTGTGATATTTTGCCTCAGGATTCTGCCTACGTGATGGATGACCACTTAACATACACATCAAAAGGAATTCAGTTATGTGGCCAACAGCTAAGGGTGCTGACGATTCTGACATGTTTATGTAGTGGACATATTAAATAACACCCCCAAGCTTTAAGCAGACCACTGAATTTACTTTCAGCTTTAAATCTGATGGGGTATTTGAATACTCCATCTCACAAAAAGAACAAAATGAACATGGAATAGGTGCATTTTTTTTTTTACCTGGATACAGCATAGCCATTGATCTGCAGGAACTTGAGGATGTCCTGTGCCTTCTCCCGATCCTTGGCTTTCTCCTTGGCTGTCAGGGTATCATAGGGCACCAGCAGGGGATGGTTTCCACCACCTAAGAGAAGGTCAAGATGGGAGCTCAGCACAGCAACCTGAGGACAACCTGAGAGGAGCAGCTGCTTGCAGGTAACAGGACTCCACTGTGGAATGCTGATAAGGTCCCCTGTTGACACCAGCAGCAGGTGGGCTTGCTAGTCTTGGACCCTGATTGCCTCAACATTCCAATCAGCTCAGCAGACCTGCTCAAAGAAAGACTTGCACAGCCCTCTTTCAGGAATTTAAGACATGAACATACACTTCTGTAATATCAAGTGCCAATAACTTCTGCAATCACCAAGGGAGGAACACTAGTCTGAAAGTGTGGAGTAGAAAAAAGACAATAAATCACACACAGCTGGATCTAGTAAAATTAAAAGGCAAGATTCAGGGTTATGTTGCATTATTCTGCCCCACAGAGAAAAGAGAAATAATAAAAATTTCTTATTTAAGACATTCTAACTCCCAGAAAATATTTTATAGTCACATTATTTATAAATAATAAATATCTAATACTTGAGTGATTAAAAAGCTTTGGCCAATAACCTCTAGCGAGAGTCAAGATTTTGGGTACATCTAATTCTGTTGAGAAATAGAAAGAATGGAGTGTTCCTTTAGATTTAAAAATTCTAGAAAGCATTTAAATTTAAAAAGAATCAGGAGACAAAATTATAACTTAAAAAAATTAAACTTTGTCAAAGTTATAAAAATATTATAAATACACTGTTGATTTCTTATGTAAAGATACCATGTAAAGAAGCTATTAAAGTGGCAGCAACTGAAGAGCTTGGTATTGAGGCCTAAGGCCATCGGGGGAGGCTGCACCAGCATAACTGCAGGAGACCAGGTGAGGGCAAGCCAGCTGACCAGCCAGCACTGCTTCATAGTGCAATAGCAATATCAGGTGTAAAATGATCATTAGAAGACAATGCCACCAAGATGGTGTGAACAGTCAAGGATAGGGGAGGTGTTACTAAGTGCACTGGCATCAAACATCCAACTTAGTTAATACCACTCATTTCCAACTCTGTTACTGCATTTGGTTCTATGGAACTATATTTGGCAACCCAGTATGTAACCCACGAGGATTCTGGAGTCGAATATCAAAGGGTTACTCTGAGAAAGATGGGAAGAGAGAGAGAGAGCAAGAGTGAGAATGAAAAAATAAAAACTGTAATTTTAAAATCCCAAGAACACAAAGTACCTCTAACTCTGAAATTCTTCTCACCTATTAGATCTCCGCTGACAGGGCAGGTGGGCACCTCAGAGTCAGCCACAGACCAAAGCTGCAGTCCGAGTTGACCTCTTGATAGCAGCGTGGCTATGGGAACTCCCTTGCTCCTCAGCCCTCACCTTTTCCCCTGATGACATGGGTGCAGGCAGGTGCTCCTAGGGGAGCTATCTAAACCCAGAGTTACATGTGTCTACAGTGGCTGCGCAATTCCTAGGTTGCTGCCTGGAGCCTGCTAGTGCTGGCTCAGGAAGTCCTCCAGGTCAGAATGCTTGGCCCCAGAGCTGCCCTTGGCCTCAGGACACAGTGCCTCAGCCAGGGAAGAGGGGACAGGGAGAAGGGAGGCAGGACACTAGCCCTTCATGGTGTTCACTGACTTGGGCGTGCTGGTAATACTTGTGAGAATTTTCACCCCTTTTTCTCTACTACTGATGCATGTTCTCTTGCTGATGCTTGATTTCCCTCTAACTGTTCCTAGATCCCTCAAGGAATTGAGAAAGCAAAGAGAACCAGATAACCAGAGCAAGCAAAGCAGGAATTTTTACACAGCGCTTTCTACAGCAGATTCACCTTCTACCAACAGATGCAGGGATGACAAAAGAGATTAAAAGTGCTTGGAAGGGAAATTGCGGATTGGTACTGATTCCTTCAAAGTCTCTGATTTTCACACACACATAATTCACTATGTGTAGAGATTAAAACCAAATAAGTGGCACAGAAGGATCTTCAGTGCAGGATGCATGCAACTGAAGAAAATTTTATGCAAAGAAAAATACCTGGGAATCAATCTAACAAAAGCAGTGAAAGACCTCTACAATGAAAACTACAGAACACTAAAGAAGGAAATTAAAGAAAACCTCAGAAGATGGAAAGATCTCCCATGCTCCTAGATAGGCAGAATTAATATTGTCAAAATGACTATACTATCAAAAGCATTATATAGATTTAATGCAATTCCAATCAAAATACCAATGACATTTTTCAAAGAAATAGAAAAAGCCATCATGATAGTTATTTGAAAAAATAAGAGACCCAGGATAGCTAAAGCAAAGCAATCCTTAGCAAGAAAAGTGAAACAGGAGGCATCACAATACACTAGATCTTAAACTATACTACAGAGCACTAGTAACAAATGTGGCATGGTATTGGCACCAAAATAGACTTTTAGACCAATGGCACAGAATAGAGGACACAAGACACAGAGACAAGCCCACATAAATACAGGTATCTCATATTAGATAAAGGTGCCAAAAACATTCACTGGAAAAAAGATAGCCTATTCAACAAATGGTGCCGACAAAACTGGAAATCCATATGTAGTAAAATGAAATTAAACCTATCTCTCTCACCCTGCACAAAAATAACCTCAAAGTGGATCAAAAACTTAGTCACTAGAACAGAGACCCTGTGCCTAATAGAAGAAAAAAACAGGCCCAAATCCTCATGTCAGCCTAGGATCTGACTTCCTTAATAAGAGTCCTAAAGCACAAGAAGTAAAACCAAGAATCAATAAATGGGATAGATTCAAATTAAAAAGCTTCTTCTCAGCAAAGGAAACAATAACATGAGGAAAGAGCCTACAGATTGGGAGAAAATCTTTACCACATGCAGCTCTGATAAAGGATTAATCTCTAGGATATATAATGAACTTAAAAAAAAAAAAACTTAACACCAAAAAAAACAAAAAACCCAACCAATAAATGGGCTAAAGAACAGATACTTCACAGAAGAAGAAACACAACAGATCAACAAATGTATGAAAAAGTGTTCATCATCTCTAGCAATTAGAGAAATGCAAATCAAAACTACCCTAAGATTTCATCTCACTACTGTCAGAATGGCAATCATTAAGAATACAGGCAACAATAAATGTTGGTGAGTGTGGAGTGGGAGACCAGTGTCTGAGACTACTGGGTCCCTGATGACTTCATGGCTGTGGCATACTTGGTGGCTGGGAAACTTTCCGTGCAAAGGCATAGGATGCCTGGTTGTTATGGAAATGCCCTCCATGCTAGAGTCTTGTCAGCCTCAATCTTAATCTCAAACCCAGCAGCTCCTGGGAATGAACTGCCTTGATAACAATAATGTTTCACCAGTTCCACTGCTCCTGAATCTGTCCAAAAATTAGTAACTTTAAACAATGGAATTTCTTGAGAGCTGCACAATAACCCAATCAATAAATGGGCACATTGCAACTGTAGATCGTAACCGAGGAAATAGCTGCTTACTGTTGCTAACTCTGTAATTTTCATCAAAGAATAATGCTTGCATAATCTTTAATCTGATTTAGAGATATATATAATAAAGATTACCAGTGTAATTCTTTAGACTTGCCTCTCTATCAGAGAGCAGTGTCCCATCAGACCCCAGCTTTATCTTCAAGATCTGCATATGTTGACTCTTTATTTCTTCCAATCTCCCATCACCCCTTGCCTGAACCTTCTAGTTTGGCCAAGCTGGTCAAGGTAGGTAAGGATGTGGTGAAAAAGGTACACTCATACATTGCTGGTGGGACTGCAAATTGGTGCAACCACTATGGAAAGCAGCATGGAGATTCCTCAGAAAATTGGAAATGAAACCACCATTTGACCCAGCTATTCCACTCCTTGGTTTATACCTAAAGGACTTAAACTTAGCATGCTATAGTAATGCAACCACATCAATGTTCATAGCAGCTCAATTCACTGTAGCTAGATTATGGAACCATCCTAGGTGTCCCTCAATACATGAATGGTTAAAGAAAATGTGGTATATATATTCAATGAAATATTAATCAGCTTTAAAGAAGAGTAAAATTGTGGCATTTGCCAGTAAATGGTTGGAGTTGGAGAATACCATGCGAAGCGAAATAAGCCAATCCCACAAAATCAAAGGCCACATGTGTTCCCTAATATGCAGATGCTAATTCACAATAAGGCAGCACTAGGCAAGAATAGTCATTAGCATTATCTTACATTAGGTAGAGGGAAGTAATGGGAGGGGAGGAGATAGAAAAGATAGTAAAATGAAGCAGACATCATTAATACTGTATGTATATATGTGACTACATGACCAATATGATTCTGCAACATTTACACTCAGAAAAATAGGAAATTATATCCCATCTATGTATATCAAAGTGCATAAATGCATTCTACTGTCAATGTATAACTAATTAAAACAAATTAAAAATTTTTGAAAAAAAAGAAATTCATAAATTACCAACAGAATATCACTTTAATATTTAAAAAGTAAGGAGAAAAGAGCAAGCATAAGCATTTTCTAGTAACAGCTGGACTAGACAAGAGAAAGAGGTGAAGACAGGAAATGAAAAAGGGTGGGAGAAGGAGCAAGGGAGGCAGATCTAATTAAATTTTACCTAAATCTCTGCTAAAATGGGTCAAAGACAGCCATCAAAATTCTTAAACACTAGTAATCAGGAAATTACAGAATTTCCATCCTTAATCTGGCACTGCTGCATATGAAACATTCCCATAAAATGAGGGCAGGACAAGTCTTAAGCTTATAGAATAGTTCTTCCTTCCATTATCACACACTCCCTTCAACTCATTGATTGGTTTCTCTTCTTTTCCTTTTTGTGCTACCAGGGATGGAACCCAAGGGCACTTAACTACCAAGCTATATCCTCAGCCCTATTTTGTATTTTATTTAGAGACAGGGTCTCACTGAGTTACTTAGAACCTTGCCTTTGCAGAGCTGGCTTTGAACTCGGGATCCTCCTGCCTCTGCTTCCCAGCCCTTTTATAGACTTTATTTAGAGACAGGGTGTTGCCGAGTTGCTTAGGGCCTTGTTAAGTTGCTGAGGCTGGCTTTGAACTCAGGATCCTCCTGCCTTAGCCTCCTTCTGAGCCCCTGAGATTATAGGCATGCCCCACCATGGCTCTGATAGTTGCTGTATTTTTTTTTATTATTATTTTTTAGTTGTAGGTGGACACAATACCTTTATTTTATTTATTTATTTTATGTGATACTGAGAACTGAACCCAGGGCCTCGCACATGCTAGGCAAGCGCTCTACCTCTGAGCCACAATCCCAGCCCCCCTCATAGTTTTTAAAAGAAGGTTTTAGAAAATACTACCTTTGGACTCCAACTCCATTTTCTTCTTCTTTGCCCATATGTTATGGTAGTTTTCAGCCATCATTTCTGCCATAGCCTGAAATGAACCAAACATTCCTGAGCTAACTTCTACTTTAGTGGGCAAAACATACAATGTTAGCTTTCCAATATGCAATATCAAAGCATGCCCTAAATGAATGAAAGAGTATTAATGCCAAAATACTTTTAAAAGATAATCAAAAACACTCTTGCATTTAAAATTGAAATTCCAGAGAATTCTAATGATTTGTGAAATTACATAGTATGTAAATAGCATAGGAGATCTGATAGGAAGCCACTGTTATGCATGATGCTTAAACACATATTTATGATAATTCACTAATGATGTAACTGAAAGCTCAGTCTCTGTCCCCAGTGCCAATCAATGCCAATTTAATAATGAGGACATGTTTTGAGAAAAAGGAAAAAGAAGGTTTATTGCTTTCCTACCAAAGGAGAAAGAAACACAGGGGACTCCTGTCCTAAAGGCTGTGACTCTATCAAGAGGGACTGGGGGTTTTAAAGAAACTCTTAAGGGTCACATTGCAGGTATGCCTTAGTAGGGGGCCCCAGGGCACCCTGATGGCATGTTAGGATTCACTTATTAATTTGGGAGATGTTCACTTCCCAGATCCTCAGCCATCATCTCTTTCCTGTAGTGGGTGTGTTCAGGGGCAATTAACTAGGGGGAAGAAAACATAACACTGTTTCCCTAATCTTGTTAAGGAGTGGGAGAGGGGAGAAGCCTTGGAGCAAGGAGGGCTATATTCAGAAGGTGAAGGGAACATTGTTAAAATGAAACTTCAATATAGCTGTAGACTTCCACAGAAAAATATGCTTACTTACAAGTTCTTATCTTAATTTTCATAGCTATAAAAGATAACAAACCTTACTAAACACTGAATGGAAAGAAAATCAGATGAACAGAGATTTGATTTCAAGACCATTCTCTGTTCAAACTGTAAGAGACCTTGGATAAGCTATATTGTTCACTTTGTGACCTTTTGGATTTTGATATAATTACCTCTAAGTTTCTTTTCACTTTTGATACTCAACTTATTACATCATTTTAATATATTCCTACAGGAGCAATAAAAAAGGCCAAACCCAACAATTTAACAGTATATAAATCTTGCATTTAGATCCTATTTCTCTTGGAATAATACTAACAATAGCCATATAATTACATCATACAGACCATTTAACCTTCAGTTAAAATCAACCATTTCAAAGTCAGATCCTTAGTGACAGAGGAGATATGACTATGGATAGAAAACAAAGTGCCACCAATTTCTCTGGACCCAAAAAAAAACTAAAAAAAAAATATATTCTTTACTGAATAATTAAAGGTGGCCTTTGAGCACAGGATTATTAATTATTCTCTTTACATATATACCTAGCTATATTAGGATTTTTAATGGATACTATCTTTAAGGAAAATATATTGTGTGAAAGAGATATCCCAGAAAAAGTTTTTCAGTAGTCCCTCTAATCCTGAAAATTCATTGCAAGACCCCCAGTGAATGCTGAAACGTCAGATTGTAAGAATCCTCTGTATACAATGCCCTGCAGTGTTGAGGTGCAGTAGCAGAGTTAACCTGTCCTTCCATGTTTGATACTCTGATGCTTCCTTTGCATCACTACTGTTCCTTGAACACAGCAGTGCAAAACCAGACAGCTGATATGATAGCCAGCAGCCATTAAGTGATTAAGGGTGGCTAGTGTATACAGTGTGGATTTGTAGGACAAAGGCAGGATTCACATCCTAGGTGATGTAGCAGGATGGCAAGAGATGCCATTACCCTACTCAGAATGGAATGAGACTTAAGACTTATGAATCTTTTGCTTCTGAAACTCCACATATCAGACCACAGTTCAGCATGAGTAAGCAAAAACCTTGGAAGGTAAAAACCACCCATCAGGGAATCGGCTGCAGCATTTCCTAGAGCACTAAAAAAAATTAGGGACATAATAGCTTTTAATTATATTGGCCCATTATATGGTCACCACATTCAAACAAGTCATGAAAGTCTTGTTAAAAATAAATTTGCAGACTATTTTAAACACTTAATACTTACATGCAGGTCTCTAGACAGTGTAACATTGCTCATGTCGATGGCTCGGGGGCTGTAACCATGGGCAGCATCTACAGAAACCTAGACCATTTATGTAAAAGAAAAAAATTGGCAAAGCCTCATTTAAAACCCTATGCAAAGAGTCTTAAATGATACTTTAAAATGTAAATCAAACATAATGTTTTCTCAGATGAAAATAGCAAATGTCCACACAAAATGATTTCACAAACATATTTAACGCACTGAATTATATTTGAGTGTCTGACGATTATTGATGATAGAATAATTCATCTTAATCTTATACCTTAGGGGCTGTCAATCCCCAAATTTAACAGAATAATAGGATTCTATTATTTTAATTCTCATTAGAATTCTATTACTCTAATTCAAATTAGAATTCTATTATTCTAATTCTACCGTTCTATTAAATCTGTACAATGAAGGAATGAATCCAAAATTCAGAAATGCTGACTTATGCAAAGAGTCACTCTATTCCTGGGCTTCTTACAAAATCCTATTTAGTTGTGATGAAATTTACTCTTCCTCACCCAAGCAATAATGAACCAAAGGGGTAAACAAATGTCCTTATGGGCCAAATGTTAAAATAAAATATAATTCAATTTTAATGACAAAAGTATACCATATGGTATTCAGTGTCTTATGACAAATGCCCCAAACCATAAGACTTCTTTAATTTCTAAATTTTGGCTACTTAAAAATGAAAACTGTCTCCTTGTCAGTTTTAAGAATGTTTCACCATCATCCTGTGCCCATGCTCCATTCCACCCAGTAGGTAGGAATGAGCTCTCAGTGCCGCTTACAAATCTGGAATTCCATCTTGATGTATTCCATGGTTGTACACATTCTCTTATTAGAAATGGATAAATAAATAACAGAGAAATACACTGTAGCATAAATCCGTGCTTGTAAAATACAAATGAGGCTAACACATGCTATAATTAGCACTGGGATCATAAGTGATACTCAGTCTCCTAGTGACTTCTGACCAAACCCTGGCATCTGTGCCTTCGCCATGGCTCAGGAGTCTCACACAGGGAATGTGCCAACGACCATTAGACTATGATCCTGCTTGGTTTAGCACAACCCAAGAAATCTGGGGTGCAATGTAAAATTATATTCCTGTACTAGCTCTGGGTTTATTTCAGAAGCTTATACGATTTTAAAGGAAAATGTATATTTTTATTAAATGAAGCCTGAATTTTGAAGGTCATAAATCTGCTATCTACAGAATTCATGGATTAGTCAGATAGTTATTTGTGCTCCATTCAGAAAAGAGAATCATAAAAATTATAAATTCCACTCCAAAAAGAACCCTCATGTCAGCAGTATTTCTAGTTACTCCTTATTGGTTCACATCCTTTTCAATGATGACTAGTTCAAGCTTCGGTAGTTATTAGTCTTCAAACCTTCAATTATGTTTTGGATATGAGTGTCCCCCCTGAAGCTCCTGTGTTAATATAGATATATTCAGAGGTGAAATTGAAGCCAGACAGGCAGATAGGTAAGGGTCACATCCAGAGAATGAAAGAATTGAAATGTTAATTTCTTCAGAGTCTTTCCTTCACCCTTATCAAGTTAACCTGCCCCTGCTCCAACCTGTTGCTAAGGTAACCAGTGCCAAGAATTGCCCCTCCCTACAGGGAGTTGTTCATTATGCTTCTTCCTGCCCAGATCACTCCAACTTGGCCCCTCCAGCCCATCTGCTTCTCACCTTTTAGCCATCCCACCTGAGCATCTCCTGGGCCTATTCCATACACAGGAAAGAGAAAAAGGAAAGAGCAGGAGAACAAAGGAAGCTTAGGACATAAAAAGGCAAAACACCCTCCTTCTTGGGGTACCAGGATATCAGCTATTTTATTTTAAAATAAACCCTACTTTATATTCTTGCCTCAGCGTGCTTCTCTAATGTTACACTTCAGGAAGCAGGACTCATCTGATATCTGGTGGTATCAAAATTACTGGATGGTGAGAGCTGTGACATAATCAGTTCATCCTAGTTTAAATGGACTGACTGGGGATAACTGTAGCAGGTTGGGTGTGGCTAGAAAAGGTAGGTTATGGGTGTAGGGGACCTGAAGAGTGCTTCTGCCCTGTGGTCTCTTCTCTCCTTTCTGGTGGCCGTGAATGAATGGAGCAGTGCTTCCACCAGGATGTTCAGCCTCACCTTGGGCCCAGAGCAAGGGACTTTCCACCCATGGACTAAGCTTCTGCAAACATGAGCAAAAATAAACCTTTTCTTCTAAGTTGTTCAGATTGGGTGTTTTGATTAGAGCAAGGCAAAGTTGCCTAACACTCCCCTCTTATTCTCATGACATTTAACCGATAAAGATACCTCTTACTTTGACAAAAAGAGAAAAAGAAGATTAAATGGGCATTAATAGCCTAAAACTCATTGCCTTCCACTTAAAAAATTACCTGTTAGATTATCATTACCTCTAGCTTTCAGCCCTTGCCATTGCCCCCTCACATGGGAGCCTGTGACATGACAGCTTTCGTAAACTTTAGGTTATAAAATCACTTCCAATCTCATGCGTATAAATAATGGCAAATGTGTATTTTATACCTAGAAAGAATCAGTATCAGGCTCTTTATAAATTTTATTAAAGAGATAAAGACATTTTGTTTTCAAAATCTTCGAACTATTTAATTTCCTCTTAGACTATGTTCCTTGTGTACCCTATATAACTGAAACATTCTTTTAGCTTTAGATTAAGTTCTTGAGGCCATTTTTAAGAATGAAAGCAAATATTTCTTTATTCAGGGACAGGGTTTTTTAAGTTTATTGTTACATGTTTCTTTATTTACATACGTAGAAATCAGAAGACTGTCCATGTCCTATGTGATTTCCAGTGACCTGAAATAAGCACTCATCTTCAAATCAAGAGCTTCAACATTAATTCAAAATCAACTGGCAGTAATGAAAACAATGGCAACTTCTGAGAGAGTGAGGGATACTCATCCATGAGTTGGCAAAACTCAGATTATTACACTGAACTGTCAGAACATCTTTGAAAAGTGATATTACTTTTTAATCACTTTAAAATCAGAAAAAGAAACTGAATAAATCATTTAAACACTATATATGACACCATATCATGTAAATACTAAACAGTAGAATTAAGTTTAAATCTAAAGCACTTACAAAGTCCTTCCAATGGCCCCCAATGTCCTGCACCACTGGGCCCCTGAAACTCCTGCATGTGTCCACCTGCTAATCACTGGGCCCCAATCTCACTGGCTTCCTCATCTCCCTCACACACACCAGGGCCCCCTCCCACTTAGCACATGTACCCAGCTTGGGAGAATCTTCCTCCAAACCCCTCCAGAGACCTCTCTGGGGTCTTTATTCAATCATCTTCTTAAGGAGGTCAACCTTGAAAACTCTATGGAGTTTGCCCCAAACACCTTCCTACCTCATCCTTGGCACACCCAGCCTGCCGCCCAGAATGCATTTTCTTCTTTCCCTGCTCTGCATCATACACTATAACACTGCTCATCTGCCATTAAAATGTAAGCTCCATGAAGCAAAGAATTTTGATGTCTTGTTCACTGATTTGAGAATCCTAGAATAATGCCTGAAAACTAACAGGTACTCAAAACTCTTCATTGGAGGAATGGGGGGATCACCCCTCCATGTTGACCTCTGTTTTTGCTCTAGATGGGAAACACTTCCCTAAAATTTCACTCTCTTTTCACTCTTCATTTGTTTAAATAATTTTCATTTGCTTAAATAATTTCCATCCTACATACATAATGCCCCCCCCCAAAAAAAATACAAGGTAAGAAGTTGGAATACATGGACAAATAAGCAATTTCTACGATGTGCCCAAGATGGCCAGAAGGTCCTTTTGAGCTGACTGCAGTGCTGGCTCACAAAAAGGTGGACAAAAGCCAGTCCTGCAATCCCTCTCTGTAAACTTCTAATTCGGTCAGCCTCCATAGCCATTAAAGTAGGTTATCAAGTGTCTATGACATCATTCATGCCCTCAATATGCAAATTACAGAACCCTGATTAAGTTTCCCCTTGCAATGGTGAAGGGGGCTAACAATGCTATTGATCTACATAACAATAGGCAGAGGGGTGGGAAGGGAGGGGAGGGGCAGGGGGTTAGCAGTGATGATGGAATGTGATGGACATCATTACCCAAAGTATGAAGACATGAATCAATGTGAATGTACTTTGTATACAACCAGAGATATGAAGAATTTGTGCTCTAATGTGTGATATGAATTGTAATGCATTCCGTTGTAATATAGAAATTAAAAAATTAATAAAAAAAAAGTTGTGGCCCACCTGTTCTGCTATGTGCCAGTCATTCTTACAACTGTCATCAGCATCACAACAGGGACCCCTCAAACATTCTCTGAAAGCAGATGCTCTTTTCATTTTCATTTTTGGGGGTGGGGGATGGGTACCAGGGATTGAACTCTGGGGTCCTGTACCACATCCCCAGCCTTATTTTATATTTTATTTAGAGACAGGGTCTCACTGAGTTGCTTAGCGCCTTGCTTTTGCTCAGGCTGGCTTTGAACTCACAATCTTCCTGAGGATTACAGGTATGTGCCACTGCACCAGCTCAGTTTCATTTTAAAGGTGAGAACACCAAAGCATAGAGAGGTTGAGCAGTTTGCCTGAGGTCACACAGCCAGCTACTCAGTGGTGAGATGTGGGCCTGGCCAGGTCTGGCCAAGTTCATCACAGACTTCTTGTGCTTCCTAGAGCCCTGGTGGGTGAAGCAACCTGGGAATATCAGGCTCCACAATCAATGGACACACGAAAAGTAGGTAAGATATGCTTTTATGGTCTTCACCCACAAGGTATGAATCTAAAAGAATTTCAAGTAAAATATGCCCGAATCTGAATTTCATTTATTTAAAAGCATTTTTCAAATATGCTTTTAGTAACCTCATTTTATTTATTCAAAAATAAAACAATTAGTAATATAAAGCAATATTTTGTGTAAAACAAGTTCATATCAGTCTGAGGAATCAGGAAAGGGACAATGACAGGTTTAGCTCCCCCAAAAAGCAAAGGGTCAGATGTGAAGGGTGCAGGGAGCCTTGTGACCATCTTAATGCCTAGTACCTGGTTCCCACTGCTTTTCCAGGGCTGGCTCTGCCTGCAGCATGACCCCAGGGCTGGAGTCCTGTGAGGCCAGTGAGTCCCAAAGCCAAGAGTCTGGCTCTGCCTATCAGCTCTGCCTGTCACTCCTTCCCTTGCAGCAGGACAGTGCACCCTCTGGGGTCTGGAACTGGGTCTCCACTGTCCCCTAAGAACCAGGCCTCCGTTTTCTGGCTGGATAACAAAGCTCTATGCTTCCCACACCAGCCAGGTAATCATGGCTCCATGCAAAATTCCAGTACTCGACTCCCGATCTGGCTCACTTCAAACAAAAAGGAAAGCAATATCTTTT